GTGCTCTGTTACCTTATTTTCTTCTTTTGCAGCCAGAGCAAGGAAAAAATAATACACTTTCCGTTCTTTTATATTTGAGAGGAGTGAAATTAAGAGTCAGGTTAAATGCAAAGTCTCAGCAGCTAGAAAATCGATGGTTATTTTCGATGCCAATAAATAAGCCTGTCTAGGAGAACATGCATTTAGGCTTTTAGGACCATTTGCTTAAAAGCATTTCCATGGGCTACAGAAGCTTGGTTGGAAACGGGCTTCAACTAGTAGAGGCCATCATAGAAAAAGAGTAAGAAATGGCCCTTCCCACAGAGGCCACATCCCATGGAAGGGGGAATGGAGCCTGGCTCTCCTGAAGGACTCTGACCTGACAAGCTGCCCTGCTTACTGGCTCTGCACAGCCCTTGGATTTTGAGTTTCTGGCTTTGGTAGAAGGCCCTGCCCCTGCCCTAGGAGAGGTGACTTACTGATGCATTCCCCACCTCCTGGATCCTGGATGCACATACCAACTGGCTGAAGGCCAGCGCTCGGCTCTGCCTGCCTGGGCATGACGTGTAATACTCCAGGATAGCCTGATCTGGGCAGAGTGGAGAAGGGCTCCTTTATCCCTTCCAGCCCTGGCTCACATAGATTCTGTTGGCAGTCACATCACTTATGATTCATGGTTGACCAGACTACGTTGTTTTCACATATGCTGCCGTGTGAGACCATATTTCTCCCAGGCTGCGCTGTGTCAGTGACATTTGTCCCTCCTAGACCACATCTTGTTATAGTGAGCTTGTGAAATTACTTAATCATGACTCCTTGCCCCAGAAAGCTGGGTTACTCGTTATTGTTGCTGATTCATGATGGACGAGACACAGACCAATAAGATGGAGAAGAAGCCAGAATTAATGCTGGGCCAGCATGGGGTGGCATCTCAAATGTGGCCGACTGAGCCACCCAGGTACCCCTGGATAACACATTTTTATGAATATTTTAAAAACTTTATGTTTTGAATAGGTAATATATTCACATAGTACAAAATTCAAATGGTACAAAATAGTACATGGTAAACAAGTTTATCTCCTACCTCCTCTCCCCTGTTACCAGCTGCTCAGGTGTCCCTACCACCTCCATTTATTGTTCGTGGTTTAATATTTATTTAAAAATTAACAGTACCTTGGGGCATCTGGGTGGCTCAGGTGGTTAAGCGTCTGCTTTCGGCTCAGGTCATAATCTCAGGTCTTGGGATCGAGCCCCATGTTGGGCTCCCTGCTCAGCTGCGGATCTTCTTCTCCCTCACCCTCTGCCCCTCTCCCCTTTTGCTCTCTCTCTCTCTCTCCTCTCAAATAAATAAATAAAATTTTAAAAAAAGATTAAAAAAACTTCACAGTACTTCTCCTTCTGGGAAGATGGAGTAGATGTACTTTTCTCTATTCCTCCCATTGGATACAACTAAAACCCCCAGGTTCTATAAAACAAGCATAACAAGGCTCTAGAAGATGGAGAGAAGAAGATGGATCAGCTAGGGACCTCAGGGTCCAAGAAACAACACAGTGATGAGCTCTTTAGGTTTACTTTGCCCTTCATCTCTCCCATATCACATTGGAGCTGAAGAGGCTAGCAACCCAGAAATGCCAGTGAGCTCAGGACAAAAAGCCCCAGCAGAAGCCTGCTCTCTCTAGCCCAAAGGCCAGCCTAGCAAGACAGAAAACTTGGGACAGTAATTGCTCTACTCCAGCTGAACACCACAGGAAAACCTGTGGCCCCACCCCTATCTGCACCTGCAAAAGCCAGTGCTGAGCCTCAACTTCCACGATCACCAGGCTGTAGGGGGTACCCCAGTCCCTCCAGCAGAGGTAGTGTCCGAGAAAGCTTTTGTTCTCACCCAGCAGTAATCAGGCACCCTGCCTGCTTGGGTGGAAGTCTCAGAGAGTCAGGACTTTACCAGCCTCTCAAGTGGAGACCTAGTAAAGGCGGGAACTCCCATCCCTACCCCGCACTAACACTTCCCAGTTTAGTTTATGAAGGTAGTATTACCCTGATTCCCAAGCCAAAGACTACAAAAAAAAGAGAACCTTACACCAATATTCCTCATGAATATAAATGCAAAAGTTATTAAAATTTTAGCAAATAGAATTCAGCAATACATAAAAATAGAAACCATGAAAAAATGGGTTTCTCCAGGAATTGAGATAACACACAAAAATGAGTGTATTTTTGTATTCTAGCAATGAACTTGAGGATATCAACATTTAAAACAATACCATTTAAAATGCTCAAAAAATGAGATACCAGAGGTATAAATACAATAAACATGTACAGGATTTGGGGTGCCTGGGTGGCTCAGTCATTAAGCTTCTGCCTTTGGCTCAGGTCATGGTCCCAGGGTCCTGGGATGGAGTCCCTCATCAGGCTCCCTGCTCAGCAGGAAGCCTGCTTCTCCCTCTCCCCCACTTGTGTTCCCTCTTTCGCTGTGTCTCTGTCAAAGAAGTAAGTAAAATCTTAAAAAAAAAAAAAAAAGTACAGGATTTGTATGCAGAAAACTATACAGTACTGATGAAAGAAAATCAATGATCTAAATAAATGGAGACCCATACTAAGTTCAGGGGGGATTGAAGAACTCGAAAAAGTAAAAATGTCAGTTTCCTCCAAATTGTCATAGGAGTTTAGCACAATTTCTATCAAAATCACAGTCAGATTTTTATAGATAAGGACAAGATTGTTCTAAAGTTTATATGAATAGGCAAGGAAGATAGGATAGCAAAAACAATTTTGAAAAAGAAAAATAAGATGGGAGCACATAGCTCAATGAAACATAAGAGAGAATCCAGAAATAGACCCACACATATATGCCCGACTGATGTTTGACAAAGGTGCAAAAGCAATTCAAGGCAGAAAAGAGAACATTTCCAAAAAAAAAAAAGGTCCTGGAGCCATTGGACATTCATAAACAAATAAATAAACTTTGACCTAAGTCTCACATTATATGCAAAACTCAAAATAGATTGTGGGTTTAAAATGTGAAACATAAAACTATCAAATTTTTAGGAAAAAAAAACAAGAGAAAATCTTCGGGTTCTGGGATAGGCAAAGAGTTCTAAAACTTGACACCAAAACCGTGACCCATAAAAGGAAACATTGATAAATCAGACTTTATCCAAATGAAACAGTTTCCCTCTGCAAAAGACCTTGTGAAGAGGAAGAAAAGACAACTTGTAGAATAGGAGAAAATAGTTGCATCCTGCATATGTTACAGAGGACTTGCATCTAAAGCCTGTAAAGAACTCTCAGAACTCAATAGTGAAAGAACAAACAATACAATTTGGATATGGACAAAAGAGGGGCGCCTGGTGGGCTCAGACAGGAGAGCCTGCCACTCTTGATCTCAGGTTTTTTAGATCGAGCCCCAGACTGGGTGTGGAGATTACTTGAAGATAAAATCTTTTTTTTTTTTTTTTAAAGAAGAATATGGACAAAAGACACGAAGAGACATTTTACCAAAGAGGATATACAGATGGCAAATAAGCACATGCAAAGATGTTCAACGTCATTAGCCATTTGAGAAATATACTTTGAAACCACCATAATCAGAATGGCTAAAATTAAAAAAATGTGACATCACCAAATGCTGGTGAGGATATGGAGAAACTGGATCACTCATCCATTGCTGCTGGGAATGTGGAATGCTATAGCCACTCTGGAAAGCAGTTTGACAGTTTCTTAAAAACTAAATATGCGTCTACCATATGACCCAGGAATTATTCCCCTGGGTGCTTACTCAAGAGAACAGATGTGTACAAAACTCACACAGGAATGTTGATAGCAGCTTTATTTGTAATAACCCCAAACCGGAGACAGCACAGATGCCCTTGACTAGTTGAATGGTTAGGGGTGCCTGACTGGCTTAGCTGGTAGAGCACGCGACTCTTGAGCTCAGGGTTGAGTTCGAGCCCCACACTGGGCATGGAGCCTACTTAAAAACAAAAACAAGCAAACAAAAATAGTTGAATGGTTAAACAAACTCTGGTATATCTGTGCCATGGAATATAATTTAGCAATTAAAAAAAGAACAAATTACCGGTACATGTGACAATCTGGTTGAATCTCCAGAGAATTATGCTGAGTGAAAAAAGCAATCCTGAAAGGTTATATACTGTGTGACTCCATTTATATAACACTCTTGAAAGGACAGAATTATAGAGATGGAGAGCAGATAGTGGTTAAAGAGGATGTGGGGGGGACAGAAGTGGGTGTGGCTATGAAAGGGTAATATGAGGGATCCTTGTGGTGATGGAAATGTTTTGTATTTTCACTGCATCTGTGTCAATATCCTGGTTGTGATATGGTGCTATAGTTTTGCAAAATATTACCATTGGGGGAAATTGGGTAAAAGGTTACAGGACATCTCTCTGTTATTTCTTAACTGCATTTGAATCCATAATTATTTCAAAATAAAAGTTTAATTGAAAAAAAAACTATCAGGGGGGCGCCTGGGTGGCTCAGTGGGTTAAGCGTCTGCCTTCAGCTCAGGTCATGATCCCAGGGTCCTGGGATCTGATTGAGTTCTGCCTTGGGCTCCCCGATCCGTGGGGAGTCTGCTTCTCCCTCTCTGTCCGCCCCTCCCCCATTCATGCTTTTTTTAATTTCTCTCTCAAATAAATAAATAAATAAAATCTTAAAAAAAAAAAAGGAAAGAAAAAAGTATCAGGAGGCAGCGTAAAACCTCAGGGTGAAGCCACTGAATTTGCAGAAGGCTTTGTTAACAAAGCTGTATCCCCTGAGGGCAATTCCTACACAGTGTCAAAAATGGCCACTGCACCTGCTAGCTGACTTCGTCCCAGCTAAACAAGCCTGGAGGAAAGAGGCTGTCTTCCTCAGCAGTACCAGCAGATTGTCCTCAGGGGCTTGGGGTAGGGAGCAGTGGGGGGCACACTGGTGGCTGAGGGTCCTCTGAGTCGTTTGCCCCAGGAACGAGGTCCAGGCAGGAGCACAGCGTCTGCTCACGGCTTCCTTTTCTCCTGCAGGCGCATGCTGATGTTTTACTCCGCCTCTTTGGTCCCTATCAGCCGTCGTGCTTATTCCGATGAGGTGAAGCCGGTGAGTGGCAGCCCAGCTACGGTGGTCGCAGCACTTCCCTAAGGGCCCCCGGCCCCGGGCCACCCTCAGAGCGGGACTTCAGTGCCTGTGGGATGCTCAGAGCCACTGTCTCCCTCTCTCAACTGCCCCACTTCCACCATCAGATGAAGTTGGGGGTTAAGAGTTTAGACTCTGGGTTCTCTCAGTCCAGGTTTCGGTTCCAGCTCTACCACGGACTGACTACCTTGGGCATTTCGGAAATATCGGTTTCCTCACTTGTGATGTGGCATAATGATCATACTTAACTGTGTGGCGTTACTGTGGGTGTTAAATAAGAAAAATGTGTGCACGGTGCCTTGCATATGGTAAGAAATGATAAATACCTTGATGATGGGTGTCGTGATGACGGGGGTTGTAGATGAGGAACCTGAGGTCCAGAAGGGAGAGGTGACTTCCCCAGGTAACATTGTCAGTTGGTGGCAGAATTTGGGTTAGAACCTCGTCTCCTGATTCTGAGTCCCAAGCGCTTTCCACTCTACTATGGTGCTTCTCTAATAGCTAGAGGCGGGTGGGGAGGGCCAGGACGGGCCCACTTAGTAAACACTAATCGTTACTGCCCAGAGGAGGTTTGGTCACCATGCTCTTAGGATCCTGGGTTCCTAATGTGGGGTCTGACCTTCTAAAACAGGTTGGCAGCAAAGCCGTCCTGGTCACAGGCTGTGACTCGGGATTTGGGTTCTCCTTGGCCAAGCATCTGCATTCAAAAGGCTTCCTTGTGTTTGCCGGCTGCTTGATGAAGGTAAGAGATAGATCATCTTTGTCACCATTGTCCTTTACACATAGTTACTGTTTTGTAGAGTTTTAAAAATTGTAGTAAAATACACATAACATAAAATTTACCTTAACCATTTTTTTTTTTTAAAGAGAGAGGGAAAGAGAGCGTGGGGTGGGGAGGGACAGAGGGAGAGAGAGAGAATCTTGAGAAGGCTCTACACTCAGTGCAGAGCCCGAAGGCAGGCTCGATCTCATGACCTGAGCCAAAATCAAGAGTCAGACGCTTAACCGACTGAGCCACCCAGGCGCCCCTACCATCTTAACCGTTTTTAAGTGTAATATTCACACTCTTATACAACATTTACTCCCATCCATCCCCATAACACTTCTCATCTTGTGAAACTGAAACTCTATACCCAATAACTGTCCATTTTCCCCTCTGTCCACCCAGTGGCAACCACATTACAATTTCTGTCTTTATGAATTTGTCTATTCTAAGTACCTCATATAAGTAGAATTTTATGGTATTTGTCTTTTTGTGACTGGCTTATTTCACTTGGCATAATGGCCTCAAAGTTTGTCCCTATTGTAGCATATTACAGAATGTTTCCTTTTTAAGGCTGAATAATATTCCATTACATGCGTATATCCCATTTTGCTTATCCATTCATCTGTCGTTGGACACTTGGGTTGCTTCCAAGTTTTAGCTATTGTGAATAAGGATGCTGCGAACATGGGTGTACAAATATCTTTTTGAGACCCTGCTTTCAATTCTTCTCGGTATATACTCAGAAGTAGAATTGCTAGATCACATGATAATTCTATTTTTAATTGAGGAACTGCCATAGTGTTTTCCACAGTGGCTGCACCATTTTACATTCTCACCAACAGTGCACAAGGGTTCCAATTTTTCCACATCCTCACCAATACTTTTTTTTTTAATAGTGGCCATCTTAATGCTGTGAGGTAGTATCTCATTGTAGTTTTGATTTGCATTTCCCTAATGATTAGTGATATTGAGCATCTTTTCATGTGCTTATTGGCCATTCATATATCTTCTTTGGAGAAATGTCTATTCAAGTTCTTTGCCCAGTTTTAAAGTGGATTGTTTGTTTTTATTGTTGTTGCTGAATTTTAGGGCTTATATATTCTGGATATTAATTCCTTATCAAATATATGATTTGCAGATATCTTCTCCCATTCTACAGGTTGCTTTTTTATTCCATGGGTAGTGTCTCTGGCTGTACAAAATTTTAAAATTTTTATAAAGTCCAATTTGCCAATGTTTTCTTTTGTTACCTGTGCCTTTGATGTCATATCTGAGAAATCATTGCCAAATCCAAAGTTGTGATGCTTTTGTCCTGTTTTCTTCTAAGCATTTTACTTTTGGGGGTCCTATACTTAGGCCCTTGATCCATTTGGAATTAATTTTTGTATATGGTATTAGGTAAGGGTCCAACTTTTTTCTTTTGCATGTGGACACCCAGTTTTCCCAGCACCATTTGTTGAAAATACTGTCCTTTCCCCCCCATTGAATAGTCTTGGCACTCTTGTCAAAAATCATTTGACCGGGGCGCCTGGGTGGCTCAGTCGGTTAAGCGACTGCCTTCGGCTCAGGTTATGATCCTGGAGTCCCAGGATCGAGTCCCGCATCGGGCTCCCTGCTCAGCGAGGAGCCTGCTTCTCCCTCTAACCCTCCCCCCTTTCATGTACTATCTCTCTCTCTCTCTCATTCTCACTCTCTCAAAATAAATAAATAAATCTTTAAAAAAAAAATCATTTGACCGTATATGTGAAGGTTTATTTCTGGGCTCTTTCTTCTATTCCATTGTTCCATGTGTCTGTCTTTATGCCAGTACTAGATTATTTTGATTAGTGTAGCTTTGTGGAAAGTTTTAAATCAGTAAATCTATATCATCCAGATTTGTTCTTCTTTTTCAAGATTGTTTTGGCTCTTTCGGGTCTGTTGAGATTTCCTATGAATTTTAGGATATGTTTTTCTGCAGAAAACATCATTAAGATTTGGACAGGTATGGGATTAAATCTGTAGGTTGCTTTCAGTTGTATCTACATTTTAACAATATTAAGTCTTCTGATCCATGCATGTGGGATGTGTTTCCATTTATTTCTGCCTTCTTTAATTTCTTTCAGAAATGTTTCATGGTTTCATTGTACCTCCTTGGTTAAGTTGATTCCTAAGTATTTTATTCTTTTTGATGGAATAAAATGGAATTATTTTTGTAATTTTGTAACTTCCTTTTCAGGTTGTGTGTTGTTTGTGTAGAGAAATGCAACTGATTTTTGTGTGTTGACTTGATATCCTGCTACTTTGCTGAATTCATTTATTAGTTCCAATAAGTTCTTGGGGAAATCTTTCGGGTTTTCTACATATAAGATCCTATCATCTGAAAACATAATTTTCCTTCTTCCTTTCCAATTTGGATGCCTTTCATCTCTTCAACAGACTCCAGAGTTCCAGAATAGTGCACTTGTCTAGGTGGGGAAAGTGATTCCTGCTGCTTTCTATTCTGCCATCTTCCCAGAATCCTACTTCAAGCTGAGTATTTAATCCCAGGACTACCCTGGACTTGGGCTGGCGTTTCTAGTTGTTTTTTTCATTGCTTTCCGAACAGCTGGTTCATCTGTTGCTTAAAAGAGTCCATCCTTTTCTCTTCATTTGTAGTCTCACTTGTTCTTCATAGCTTTGTTCATTCATTCATTCACTCGTCCATTTGCCAAATGCTTATGATGTGCCTGCCACTTTGATAGGTACTGTAGAAGAATATTACCTGGTCCCTGCATCTAGGGAGCTCAATGTCCAGTGGTGAAGGACCGTCATGCACAGATTCACCTGGAAGAGTTAGAGTGAAGAGGGTTCTCAGAGTTGTGTGGGGTGTTTAATGAGAGTGTGTAGAAGGAAGGGATTGATCCTGGCGTGACAGAGGTGACCTTCATTCTGGGTCATGGAGAATGAGTAATGCTGTCCCAGGTAGAGACTGAGGATCCTTCGCGATTCAACAAGTGGAATTTAGGGTGTCTGAGGGGAAGCCCTGGGACGTGAGGCTGCAAAAGGAATAGGGGACGGTTCTTCCAGTCTGGAGAGTTGTGCAACCTTACCACAGGGCGTCACTCAGAAATTTCCCTCCCTGGGGAAGCTGGGAAATATAGTTCATATTCTGAGACATTATGTACCCTGCTTAAAATCAGGGGTTCTACTGCTATAGAAGAAGGGAAGAAGGGGCGTTTGGGACAATTTGCTATCTCTGCTCTGTAGATGAGATATTTTTCTTTATTTTGAAGGCAGTAAGAATCCAGAGAAGGAATTGTTTTTTTTTTAATTTTTTTGTTGTTATGTTAATCACCATACATTACATCATTAGCTTTGGATGTAGTGTTCCATGATTCATTGTTTGTGCATAACACCCAGTGCTCCACGCAGAACATGCCCTCTTTAATACCCATCACCAAGCTAACCCATCCCCCCACCCCCCTCCCCTCTAGAACCCGCAGTTTGTTTTTCAGAGTCCATCGTCTCTCATGGTTCGTCTCCCCCTCCGATTTACTCCCGAGAAGGAATTGTTTTTATACTAGATTTAATATCTGTAAAAATAATACCTGTTCAATGTAAAAGTTTCAATAATATAAACAAACAAAAATAATAAAGTAATTTGCATTGCCACAGTTTGAACATATTTTCAGATCAGAGAGGGTTTATTTGTCCTTTTAATTTTTCTTCTTTTGAATCATGAAAGTAATACATATTTATAACAGATTCAAATCAGACAGAAGTGGATGATGTAAAAAAGTAAAGTATTTTTACTGCAGTCTCTTGCCCCAGAGTAACTAAAATGTATGTGTGTACATTATTTATGACTTTTGCTAATATAATCAAAGCCACAGTGAATATTCTTACACATATCTTTGCTGGTTTTCATTAGTAATTCTTAGGAAAATTTTCTAGATGTGGAAAATACTGGCTAGAAAGGTGTGCAGATTTTAGGTTTTATTCAAGTCTGTCAAACTGCTGCTCCCAAAAGCCATACCAATGCCTACTCCCTCTGACATACATGCAAAAACTTGTTTCAAAACGGATTTGGGGGTGATGGGTGAGGCATGCTTGGAGTTGGGTTCTCTGCATAATGTGGACTTGCTTCAACAAGTCCTCACAGGAGCTGTGATGCCACAGAACATTTCGTGCCTTTGAAGTTCCTTCTCCATGTTTCCAGCGCCTGTGCCATCATGCTGGCTTGTCCAGTGATGCAGGGACTATGTCCTGACTCCATGGTGCAGAGTTGTGCAGAGGAGCCTTTGAGAGAGAGAGTCAGGGCCTTGGATTCTAGTCCCATATCAGCCACTAGCCCAGGGACTAGGCAGACACCTCCCCTCCCCGAGCCCCTTTCTTATAATAAGGGGGTTGGACTGGGTGCTCTGACGTCCTCCTACGCCCACAGCCACGATCCTGACTTAGTGACTGGTGTTTTCTTTAAAATACCAGACAAGGTGACTGCCGGATTATGTCTGTTGGTGTTACTTAGTGACTGTTTTGGTGTCATGTGTGTCTTCGCTGGTCAAAAGCTAGAGGAGGCAGAAGTCACTAGAGGTTTGAGTTAATGATGCCAATCAGAAAGCAGTCAGAGCCACTGGAGACCTCGGATAAAGTCTTCCAGCTTGCTTCTGAGATGTTAAGCCATGTGGTGGATTCTGGCTACATCTGTATCCCCAAAACTCTGCCTGCTCTTACTTAGACTTACTCCTCCTCTTGTGCTTCAGGTCTCAGTGCCTTGGGCCAACACAAGGGCTTGGCTCCAGCAGATGTCTCTAATCTCCTGCCACCATTAACTCCTCACTCTCTGCTGGATCATTTTGGCGTGCGCGCGCGCGCGCGCGCACACACACACACACACACACACACACACTGACAACCTCCCATCTCATGTGCACTACTAGCTCATTTCTCTGCACCCCCAGAGGGTTGTTTGTACTGGATAGTTTCACCTATTTACTTCCCATTTTCCTTTCAACCCA